ATATATCTAACTTTTATTTAAGGTCTTCTAAGGTCAGACACCTGGGCTAATTCATGCATTATTTTACCAGATCTTCACATATAATTCTTATGCACATTTCTTTTTTAAAAATTAATTTATTTATTTTAGAGAGGGGGAGGGGCAGAGAGGGAGAGAAAGGAACAGGCAGACCCCTCCCTGAGCTCAGAGCCCTGAGCAGGGCTGCTCTCACCACCGTGAGATCATGACCCGAGCCAAAAATCAAGAGTTGGATGCTCAACTGAGTGAGCCAAGCAGGAGCCCCTTTATGCACATTTCTAAGGAAAAGGTGGGGCCCTGAGAGGCTCTCTTACCCATAATCACTCTATGCAGTGCACAGAGCATTTGGATGGGGACTGGGTTAGCTGACTCCGGTGCCTGGGCATTAACTGCTCAGTGCTCAGCCGCTGGGCACTGGCCACGTCATCATGGAGCATATGATGGAACAACGTGCAAATATTGACAAGGAGGCTAAACTGCCTGCAAATGTTCAAAGAAAGGAATTTCAACCATGTTCTACCATCTCTACCCACTCAACATGCATTTATGCTCAGGAAAATGTAATAGAGAAACTCACAAAAATTTCGACAGTGGTTATCTCCAGCTGATAGGCCTGCAGGTGAATTTTCACTTTCATTTCTTCCTTTTTGTGGCTGAGTTTTTTTCTAATAAGGATGCATTATTTTATGGCCAGGATAAAGCAAAAGCATTTTTTTTTTTTTCTTTAAAGAGGATTTGAACTGTGAGCTTGGCTGATCTTGGTTTTCTCCTAAGGTTAAGGATTCTCTTCCTGGCCTTCCAGAATGAGCTGGAATTTGAGCAAGAGGCTGGGACTCAGCCTGTTCCCACTCCTATGAGCACTGATTCTAGGAAAGCAACACCTGGAACTGTTTCCGCTAGAGGAAAGGGCCTCTCAGGGTTGTGTGGATGGCCCCAGGTGCTGAGAATGGGTGTGTTGGGGGGATGACCCAGGAAGAAAGGCTGGATGGGAGGGAAGAGAAAGGGAGCTCTGGCTAAGAAACTGTGGTTTGGGGGGTCTCGATTCACCCTCAGCTGGAAGAAATGGTAGCCTCGGTACAGGGCTCTACACACATTCACAGGCGTTTTCTCTCTTTCATACTGAGCCCTGAAACAAGCCCAGTAGCCCTGGAATTATTATCCCCATTTAACATGAGAAAATGGGGTGTTGCTGGCTGGGTTCCCCGGGAAGTCAACTCGGAGACAGTGTTTGGCAGGATGTTACCGTGGAAGAGTCCCAGGGATTGGATCCTGTGGAGGGGAGGGGACCAGAGGCTGGGTAGAGGGAGAGGTGAGCTGATGCACAGCTTCAGCCCTCGCCCCTGGAGTTGGGCAGCTAAGCAGTCTGGTTGGCAGGAATGGCCCCTCCTTACAGGCCCCTCATCTCCATCAGCCCCCATGCGTGAGGCAGCTCCCCGTAGGCAGTCCCCGGGGAGGCACCTACCACCAGTGCTCCCCACGGGTGAGACAGCAAGCCCTTCCTTGATGAGCAAGTTGGGGAAGCATCCGCGTCTCCATCACATGGAGACTCAGAAAGGCTGAGTGATTTTCCCAAGCGGAAGTCGTACCGCTCGCCCGGGACAAACCCAAGACTGCCGGGCTCCAAATCCCAAGGGACCTCAGATGAGAAGCAGACAGCCTGGGGTGCAGTGTGCAGCCGCGAGCCGTGGGGAGCATGGTGGCCAAGGGTGTGTGTGCCCTCCAAGCTCAGCTGTGGGGGGGCCCCCTGTGCTTCCATGACAGGTGTCAAAAGGTTGGAGAGTAGCTGGCATGGGCGGCCGACGTTGGAGAAGGAGAGAGAGAAGAACTCAGCACCCCCGCATCGCAGGGCTCAGAAGGTCATGATCCGCTCCAGCAGCGACAGCAGCTACATGTCCGCGTCCCCCGGGGGGAGTCCCGGTAGCGGCTGCAGGCAGCAGTCTTCTGACCTGGAAGTCCCCACCCACAGCCCCAGCCTGTCCCTGGGGCAGGAGCAGGGGACGCTTCCCACGGCTCCTTCCGGGCCGCCCCAGGAGAGCCCACCCCTCCCTGGGACGCGGGACAGCCACCCGCCCCTGAAGCTGAAGAAATCCTTCGAGATTTTGGTGAGAAAGCCCACAGCCTCCAAGCCCAAGCCTCCGCCCAGAAAATACTTTAAAAGTGACAGTGACCCTCAGAAGAGTCTGGAAGAGAGAGAGGACCCCCTATGCCCTTCTGGGCACACCTCACCCACGTGGGGCCAGGTAAGAGAGGTGTCTGACAGGTTCAATGTTCTCCTGAGCTCCAGAGCCAGGAATCGTGCTTCTGTTGTTGTTTGTTTGTTTGTTTTTTATCGTGTGCACAGTTGTTCTTGAGCACGAGCAGGAGCCTTAGCCATGGGGAAGGAAGGGGTCTCCTGCTCCTTCAGAGGGAAGAGGCTCAGCTCGAGCTTAGAGCCGACCGTGCCAAGACTGGAAGCTTGGCGGGTCCCAAACCGAAGCCCCATTCCCGCTGTGTGGCTTCTGGGCTCCCTTCTAAAATACACTGGGGTTTTCGGCTGCTTTCACGGGGGTCAGTCTTCAGGCTGGCCCTGATGGAGCCCCAGCAGAGCTCCTGAAAGGCCATTCCGCAAGGGGCGGGCAGGGGGGCTTCCTCGAGGGGCTGGTTACCTGCTTTTGGAAGTGACATAGCCCATGGGATGGTGAGACCTTGGCTTCCGTGTCTTTCCCAACTCCTCTTGCCCAATTCCCACTTCCTTCTAGGTGGAGCTTGGGGGCAGTCTCAACTTCTCTGAGCCTCAGTTTCCCCTCCTGCTCGCTGGGGCTGTTTGGAGGCTCCCTGCTCATTTCGTGGAACCACCTAAGCCGATAATCGTGGCTGTGATTAGTCTTCCAGCACACCCATGAAAGACCTCGGCTTCCTTCCCCTGCCGCCCATGCCACCCCCTTAGAGGAAGGCCCACCTACAGCCAGGCAGCAGCTGCAGCTTGGGCATCTTTATGCCCAGGCCCTGTGTGGAGCGCCACGTGGCCGCTGCCCCAGTTCGGCCCTACCCCGCCTCCTCCCCCGGGGGCGAGGGGCTGGTCACAAAGGGTCCCCGAGCTGCAGATCCCTCCACCAGTGGCTTGACCGCCAGGCTCCACCGCCTTTCTCAGCCCGGACCCCAGCAGCTGCCGTGGCCACGTGGGTGGCAGTGGGGCCCTCGGGACCTCCCCCCAGTGGCCTGGAGTTGGGCTTGACCAAGCAGGAGGGGAAGAAGGCCAGAGTGGTGGGGTGGGGAGGTGGGGGGAGGAAGGCGGTGAGTGGGAGGGGGAAATGGCGGGAGGGGAGGCAGCTGGTGACAAGGAAGCGGGTCCTGCCCAGAGCACGGATGTGGCTGCTTAGCTGCTGGCCTGATGAGCTCGTCGCTGTGGGTCCCCTCCCCCGCCTCCTGCTTTAAGCCAATGCGGCCTTCCCCTGTGGGTCCAGAAGGGCAAGCGAGTAACAGGCAGGCGGAGAAGCCAGGCTTTTTGCTTTGCTCCTGGACACTTGGGAAAGGAGGAGGGGCTTTGCCAGGGGAGGTCTACTGGCTGCAGGGCTTCCCGGTGATGCCCTGGGGGTCCCTGGCTAGGCTGGGCCATAGACGGGCGGCTGGCTGGAGGGAAAAGTGGGGTTTCTGCAGGAAGGGCCGGCGGCGGGGGGCTTGGACGTGGGCACTTCCTCCGAGCAGCCTTCCCTGGGCTGGGGTCCGATGTCTGGCCTCCCCCGCGGCCCCTTCTCTGTCCCTCCGCCCGGTCCCAGGTGGCCAGCGGGCCCCTCTCAGCAGCACAAGCTGCAAGACCTACTTCTCCTGGGATTGGGGGTCCCAGAGAAAGGACGAAACCAGGAAGCAAGGCTGGACCCCACTCCTCAAGGCTCCTCGACCATTTCTGGGGATTTCTCACTGGATGTGTCTCTCCTTGGCCCCGTCCCTCCCTCTTGTCCTCCTTCTCTCCCAGCCCCCCTGCAGCCTTTTCTCTCTGGGACAACCCCCAAATCTTTCCCATCCTGTGACTCCCGGGGACGTCACTTGGACAACCAAAATGACCCTCAGGATATTTCCCTCAACAAAAGACCCGTTCTCTCCCTTCGAGGAAATCAGCTCAGACCATCACTTGGGCTGGAAACCCTGACTGCCCTGTAAGCCCACACGTCTGTCTTTTCTCCTTTCCCCTCTGTCCCTCACTCACGGAGCACTGTGCTGGGGAAGCAGCTCAAAGTAGCTTTCAGAGAAATTTGAGTAAACTTGGATTTATTTCGGGGGCTAATTAAGAAAAAAAAAACCACCCTCCCACAAAGAGGGTATAATATCAGTTCATTAACGAAACAACAAAACACATTCAGGTCTTTTCCAAGAGGCAAAGAGGCTTTGACTACTGTGGTTGGTACCGGAGTGTCAGCCTCTAAGAGTGTCAGCGATTCACGGGTGTAGACAAATGTCACCCTACAGAGCTCCCAAATGAGCAAAGCTGAATTCCAGCCACGTGTCATTTTTCCTGCGTGATGAGGGTCTCAGACGCCACCGGCCTAGTATTTCAAGCTCCGAATGCCATGGCCAAGCCTTGCTTCTTCAAAGGACTAGTTCAAGGAGCCCAGTGGTTCCTGAGTCGCGTGGTCTCCCTGTATTTCCAAAGGCTCTCCCCGAGCTCAGGTCTCCAACGGGGACCTTGGGGGTGGGGGACAAGGCTCTGTGAACACATTTCTAGCTTCTGTAGCTCTCTGTCAGAGAATGTTTTTTGCCAACGTAGATGTTCATCTCGGGCCACGGACGTCTGCCATTTCTGTTTTAGTCCCAAGTGACGCATTTATTCCCCCTTCTTTCCTTGCTCTGGGGAGGAGGCCTGCAGCCTTGTGAGACAGGCAGCCCGTCGTTCCACCTGCCTGTGGAATGAAAGAACATGGAGGCCACCACAGCGTCTCCAGGCGTTGCTCCTGCAGATGGGCCAACATGGAAGCGTCCCTGTGATGACACTTCTCTTCTTCTTGCCTGGGCCGGCGTCATGCTTGTCCCTCTCTCTGTGTCCCGCCCTCCGGAGCTCTCCTTTCTGCTTCTTTGCCTGGGAAATTCGTACTCTTTGCTCAAGAACCAGACAAAAAGCATCTCTCTAGGAAGCCTCGTTCCCCCCTCTGCTTCCTAGGGAGCCCTGGTGGCATCTCGGTGCTGCCGGGTGCAAACTCCAGGCCAGTAGGAGACGGGCGCTTGGGGGCCGGTCCGGCTCCTTCCAAGGCTGTGTCATGAAGGAGCCTGAGACCGCATCCAGGTTCCGTGGGGAGAACACGGTGGCCAGGGACTGCCCAGGCCACAGCAGGTGCGGCAGAGGGCAGCCGAGGTGCAGGTCCCGAGGGCCGGGCATCCTTGTGGCATGCTTGTGATGGAGAGCCTGCGGGAAGGGACTGGCCCGCGCTCGCCTCCGAGTGTTCTCACCTTAGGTTTGCGAAGGCCAGGTGCCGGCTCTCCCCCTCCCCGGGGCAGGGCTTCACCTGGGGGCAGCCGCCCTCCACACCCCAAGCTTTGTGTCCCTGTCACACGGGACCCAGGGCCTTGACGCTCGGCAAGGAGGAGGTGTGTGCAGGACGCGGGCTCCCTGGAAGCCGCGGGCGCAGCGCCGGGGAGGAAGGGGCCCCCGTGAGCAGAGCCGCCGGGAAGCCCGTCATGGGAGCAGCTGGGCGCGGGCTCTCCAGTGCCCGCCCGCGTGCGCCTGGCCTCTCACGGCTGGAGGCCACCGTTCTCACGTGGCCTCGCTTCCTGTTTACACCACAGGAAGCCGGAGAGCAGCTGCCACCTTCACGGCTGCTGCAGGAAGACACAGCAGGGAGAGCCCCCCGCGCCCTTACCTGTTCCCCGGGGCCTGCGGTGGGCCCGCCGACGCCACCCTGCTCGGAGGCCGAGCCCGGGAGGAGAGGAGGCAGCCCAGGTAGGCTTTCAGCTCGGGCTTCCCGAAGGCAGGAAGGAAGGACCTTCTGGGTTAAGGTCCAGGAACGAGGTAAGGATGTGGGATTGCGCTGAGGACGGAGGGCTGTGCCCGACGAAGGCTGTGCAGGTTGGTGAGCAGGCAGGAGCCCCGAGGTGCCCGAGCGGCAGGACCGTATGAAGGCTGGGGACCCCGTGGTCGGACTGGCGATGCCGTGGAGGGGCTCGGTCCGGGCAGTCGGCGGGAGGACGGAGGGGGACGGCACTCCAGCACGCGGCGTCCAGCGTGTCCCAGGCTGAGGATGCAGCATCGCGTTCGCGGGCGGGCGCTGTGTCCGTGAGCCTGGCGAATGCTGGCTTCCTGAGGCTCCGTGCCAGGTGCTGGAGGGAAGGAGGGACAGAGGGACAGAGAGAGGGGCAAACCAGGTCGGGCCATGAAGGAGCTCCCCAGCAGCAGTGGCTACCCACCATATGCCTGTTGGAGAAACGCTCCATGAAAAGTGCATGTGTGGCTCCCGGAGGGTTGGGGGGGGCGTTGTGAGTGGAAACATCTGACCCATCTCGCCCTGAGCAGGTGCCCCACAGTGGTGGGCTCCCCTCCTCCACTCTGCCTTCCCTTAGTCACCCCAATTGAGGAACACAGCAGAGAATAGCCCGGTGCTCTGCTCGCAAGAGTGCCTCACCCCCGTGTGCCAAGGGCTTCCTGGCAGGACCTCTGACTAGGGAGCTTTAGGACAGCCCCTTGCAACAGAGCAACGGATAAATGCAGAACCAGGCTGAGAGGCCTGGCCCCCCCCCCCCCCCCCGGCAAAGCCCCGGAATGCATAATAACCACGCAGCTCTTCCGGATTATGCAGAGCATCTCCAATACCTTGGAGGCTTAACGCTCTCACGGTTTGCTTCCCTGGAGGCCCCGCACAGAGACGGGGGACAGCAGGGGTCAGTCCTCCTCATGCTGGGCTGCTTTCGGGTATCAAGCATCCCCCAGAGCGCAAATCCAGAGCAGCGTACTCTTCACCAGGGCAAGATCAGACCGGGGTGGGGGGGCCACAGGAGGGTCCACATCCACTTGGCGTCTTTACCGCGTGGGACTCGGGGGCCGGCCTCGCTCTGTCTCTGGGTAAGAGAGTCTCCCCACCTTTCTAGAGGGGATGCACAGATATGTAAGATGCTGAGCAGCGAGAGGGGGTTAAGAACTGAGGTGAGCTGGGGTGCGCCCCGTCTGAAGGCATGCACTTTGGCAGTGCTTTTTAATGAGATGGGTGGTTGAAAGCAAAAATGGCCACCAATCTGGGACCTTTGGCTTACAAGTTTTAAAAGGTACGAAAATTACTTTGGCTTTTAAATTTGCAATGACTTATGAGCAGTTTGCTTTAGTGCAGTGGAAAGGACGCTAAGAATCAGGAGGTTCTGTGGGGTCTCGCCCTCGCTGTGCCAACAGGTGATCCCTTACCCGTGTGGATGTTGGATTTCTCAGTTGTGAAATACCAGAGATTGGCCCACATATTCTCTGCAGACCCTTCCAGCTCTAAAATGCAGAGAAGCTAAGTCTTGGTTCTGTGGTGCAGAGAATGGTGCCGGGGGTGGGGGTGTGGGGTAGCTGCCCCCCCAACCAGGGCTGGTCTCCGCCCCCAGAACGCTCCTTGCTATCTAGCTCTGAAACCAGGACAGGGGCGTAACGCTCAGCTTGGGCCTTGTTTCTGTTCCCCAGGGATTCAAACATCCCCAGCCAAACACCCACTCCTTAAGAGGCAGGCTCGGATGGACTGTAGCCTTGATATCACCACCGAAGACCCCTGGGTTAGAATTTCCGACTGCATCAAAAACCTGTTTAGCCCCATCATGAGCGAGAACCACGGCCACCTGCCTCTGCCACCCAGCGTCAGTCTGGGTGAAGAAGACGGGGTGCGGGGCCCCCCAGACGGGACGCCGCCCAAGCCGGATGCCACGGGCGGTGCTCCCAAAGCTCACAAGTCGGTGGACAGTGGCACCGTGAAGAAGGGTCCCCCCGTGGCCCCCAAGCCAGCCTGGTTTCGCCAAAGCTTGAAAAGTTTGAGGACGCGTGCCCTGGAGCCGAGGCGGCTGCCTGACGCGGCCTCCCCGGCCCAGCCGATCCCCGCGCCCCGGGAGCGCCCGGGGCCACCCACTCGGACCTTCTCCTCCTCCATCCAACAGAGGATCAGCTCCTTTGAGACCTTCGGCTCCTCACAGCTGCCCAACAGAGGAGCGCAGAGACTGAGCCTGCAGGCCTCCTGGGGGGAAGCAGCACAGACTCCCGGGGAACAAGGGGGAGGACAGGTCGCTGGCCTCTCGGGCCGAGGGGCCGCCCCCACCGTCCAGCCGCAACCACCCGAGGAAGAGCACCTGCCGCGGGGCTCGCCCACCTCCTCCGAGACCGGTGAGCCGGGTGTGTCGGGGTCACCTCTGCCAGGACAGCAGTCCAGCCAGAAAAGCCCCCTCCCTGACCCCGACCCTCTCTCGAGGCTGTTGTCCTCACGGACTGAGGAGCCCCGAGGCCCTGTTGTCAAGATGCCGGGTCAGCGGGCGCGGAGCTTCCCCCTGTCCAGGACCCAGTCCTGGGAGACGAAGCCGCTGGATGAGAAGACCAGCAAGCTCTACTCCATCAGCAGCCAAGTGTCGTCGGCGGTCATGAAGTCCCTGCTGTGCCTTCCGTCTTCCGTCTCCTGGGGCCAGACTCCCTGCAGCCCCAAGGAAGGGGGTTCTCCCCCGTCGTTGGCCGGGGACGCCCCAGCTGTGAACAGTTCTGCGGATGCTCCTGCCTCGGACACAGGCTTCTCACTCAAGTGAGTGTGCCCAGGATCTCCTCCAGCTTCCTGTCTTCCTGTTCTTTCTCGTCTTTCTTTCATAACCGTGCATAACTTTATTTAAAACAACGTCTCGGGTACCCTAAGGGATTGTTCTACCTGTTCTTTCCTGGGCGTGGGCGTGTGCATTACACCCTCCGTATGAAGGAGGAGTTTCACAACCCCTGGTCTGGGGGTGGGGAGGCGCTGGTGGTCCCTGGTGCGTGGCCCATGGAGGTTTGGAAAGCAAATGCACATCAGACGTGTCCCGCTCCTGCTCAGGAAGTTCAGACTGGAGCCGGCAGAGGATGACCCTCTCCCCTCCTCACCCCCTGAAGGAATCCACACATACTCTGTACGTGGCTTCCGGCCCCTGGACTGGGCGTCAGGATGTCTGGGACCCAGTCCTAGCTCTGGCGCTGACTCCCTGGCCACGAGCGGGCTCCTCATGCTCAGTTTGCCCTTCCGCTGAGATTAGGAGGTGCGCAGGACCTGCTCCAAAAAACTGGGTGAGGGGAGCTCCAGTTCCCCGGGGCTCCCACTGTGGGATGAGATCCTGCCTTGAATTAGAACAACTCTGCATTTACCAGCTTTACTTCTTATTCTTAGACTGCTGAGAAAGGTTTGAGACCCATTGACCCTGATGTTTCATGTTCCAGCCCCAGCAGACAGCCTGGGAGGGAACAGGATTGAGCCAGGAACACACATCTAGAGCAGGGTCTCAAGAGCCAGACCGACCCATGGGTAGCTCCCGGGAGCCGGTCAGATGTAGAGACGCCCCATAAAGTTGAGGTTTCCCAGGAGCTGGCTCTCTCTGGCTGAGAAGCTATTCTCCAGTTGGAACTGGGAGGCTCACCATCAGAATGTACTCTGCCGCGGGATCTCTTCACCTGCTGGTAGTAAATGTCTGCCCATCAGAGGGAGGAAAAATGTCTTCTCATTGAAACCACAGTTTCCTGCAAAGTATGAGGCGTAGCTGAAAAAAAGCTGGCTACAGGTATCAAAATACGTTCCAAAGGAAAAGGAAGGCCAGTTGCTGGGTGCGTGGGCACTATTTGTGGTTATTAGGTGCTAATAATGGGGGGGATATGCAGGTACTGAGGGCAGGCGTGAAGGAGCGCAGAGGTGAGTGTGTGCGAGGTGCCATGGCCATGATCCGACTGTGGTGTTGGGGCCAACTGTCCAAAGCATCCGCTGTACTCTGGGGTGAGGTGCTGACATTTGGAAACCCTGACCGGGAGTCCGACACACCATGATCTGTGATTGTGAATCCCGGATCTGGGCATTTCACAGCCGTGTGAGCACAGACAAGGGTTCACCCTCCGTAAGCCTCAATGTCCTGATGGCTTCGGTGGAGGGATGCTGGCATCTACTCAGATTTGTTACATCATATTACAGAATGCATGTCGGTGCCCAGCCCCATGCCTGGAACAGAGTGATTACACAATGATCGTGAGGTCTTACTAATATTCTGATTCGTACCGTGTGCTGTTTCTCTATGAAAGCCTTTCAGAGCTGAGAGAGTACACAGAGGGGCTCGGGGAGCCCACGGAAGCTGACAGCTGGGACCACAGCTCCCCTCAGTCTGGCCAATCGGTCATCTCCCTGCTGAGCTCCGAGGAATTAAAGAATCTCATTGAGGAAGTGAAGGTTCTAGATGAAGCGACGTTAAAGGTAGGCTTCCTTTGTAAGCACTTACAGTGGCCAGACGGGATGCAGAAGCGGCCCCCGGGGTCCTGCCCGTGGGAGAGGGACATTGCGTCACTGGATCACAGTAAGACCCGCCACTCGAAGGAAGCTTTGTAGCTTATTGAGTGCTTTTAATCATTGGCTTATTGCATCTTTTCAACCATTTTGTAGGTGAGAAAGGTAGGGCTCAAGAGTTTTCTTTCTCTAAGTTCTGTGCCACGTCTCCATCCCACGGGCTGCTGGCCAGGCGTGCGTGTCCAGGGAGACGCTTGCTTCACGGGAGCGTGCTATTATAAGCAGCCATGGGTTACCAGCTCTCACCGCGGAGACCTCCCCTGCACAGGGAGACGTGATCGATCCCAGGGCTTGCAAGCCGCCCCCCCGCCCCGTTTCACTCAAGTCATTGTGAAAGTCCCACTTCCCATATGCTCCTGAGCACACCCCAAAGATGTGAGGAGAGGAAGTGGCCAGGCAGAGCTGAGGTCAGCTCAGCTCAAATGAGCACTAGCTCAAGGGCTTGCCCCTCCTGGGTCGTCCCGGATCTGCAATGGCTTTTTGCACCAGAATCATCCAGACTGGGGTGAAAGCATTAAGGAGGCATCATAGCTGAAATTCCCAAGGTCAAAGGTGTTGGCTCAGCCTGAGCCACACAAGACGCTCTGGGCTGTGATTCACTCATCACCCGGACCCTGGGACCATCATCCCCAGCTCTTCATTCCACATGGAATAACAGGGTCAAAAGTGTTGTGTCAAAAACAAAGAGCTGTCTTGTCTAGGGTGTCACTGGGAGGCCATTTGTTTTTCTGCTGGGCAAGAGCAGGTAACCTGATACTTGGGTCAAAGTGGGGAGATTTGGGCCAACGCTGGGGTAGAGGTGGGTGGAGCGGTACCCTCATCCCCCTGGGTCCTGGGGACTCCCAGTCAAGGGATCACAGAGTCAGCTGCGCGCCAGGAGCTCTCGTGGGGTCAGAGCAAGGGAATTCTTTGATGTAAGGTTATTCCCTAGCACCAAGGTACAAATTGGTGGCCCGAGAGCCATGTGGACCTCACGTGTATTTTATTTGGTCTGCATGGTGACTGCTACAATTATTATATTCTAAAGATGATAAAACCTGAACTGATACCTGGGCATCTGGTTTCTCTCTTTGTTGAAAGGGAACCATCGGGTAGCACTGGGTTCTTCTGCACCAGGTTCTTCAGCACAGGAGATGGGCTCCCTGGTTCTCTGCAGAACATGGCAGAGCCGTGTTCTCCAACGGGCTGGGTTTCCAGCTGACTTAGCGGCACCCAGCCCTGTCCGAACCAGTGTGGATGCTGGCGGGGTGGCCAGGAGGGGAAAAGAGCAGCACCTGTT